TTATATTGCATAGCTGCAATGTTAGGTGTTTCTTTGGTACTGTGACTTCAGTTTTCTTCTGCGAGTTTTTCTCCCACTTAGTTTCTTATTTTGTGTTATTTTCCTTCTCCATGAGACCACTTTTATTTGTTTTTATGGTTTTGTAACAGGTTAATATGGGTTTCAAAGCATAGCAGTGGATGATGTGGCTGATTCAGAAGACATCAGAGATTGATATTGTGGATCATGCTAAATATTGTCTTAGTTCAAGCTTGGCATTCTTCCTTTGATTGTGATTTGTTGGTTGGTGAGTTTCTATTTGTTTGAATTTATTTTGATAATATGTGTGTAGCCACGGAGAAGAGTTACCTTGTAGCCATTTTTGCGCGCATACTTCAATTCCTCGTAGACTGAGTGAAGTTACAGTTTGTGGCGTGGATAGTGATTTATGGGCAACCTAAATTGAACTAGCAGGTAGCAGAGTTGTATAATATATGAGAAAATTGAAAACGCAAATCTACCTTTGTTGGTTTTTGGGACGCTTTTATCTAGTATCATCATTAAATCTATTTCCAGGGGGTCGGGAGTCCGGTTAGATGGTGGATAAAAATGGACAGTACCAGGGGTTCTAACCCTCGACATAGGAACTGTAAACGCTGCGAAGTTTCTTCTCTAGCGGAACAAAAAAACCCAATCGTGGCCATTATATTCGCAGCAACCGCCGCCGCAAGGGACATTCACCAGCGGTTCGGCAGACTGCTGGCATTACATTGCGGCAGTTCTCTATCCGTCGGTTATGCTACGGCTACAAGAACCGCTGGCGGGATGATTAGCACCGCTTTTTTCCGTCGCTAAATGCCAAATAATCCCCTGTTGTAGTTGGTTTATTTTGTAGTGTAACCTGCTTCAGCCTGATTATGACGATAATTTACAAGCTCCGATCGTGACGTTAATTTACGCATGCCAAGTTAGTATTATATTTGTAACAATCAAGCCAATCCGTGTTCAGCATGTGTCCTGCATGCATGCGTGGCAAGTTGGGATTGGATGCTCGAATATCCCCTGTTAGCTATAGCTATCAAGTATCAACTGTACTAGAATCATAGTCCGACCCAGAATTTGCTTACGTACGTGTTAGGAAGTGCATTTGAGGTTTTCATTTGTTTTGACTTTATATCCCTCTTGATGTAAATTTAGACCAAATCTGGTGGTTGAGAGTGGATTATAGTTAGTTACTTGCATGTTTTTGGAGTTCTTCATTCATTTGCGCTTTCCTTCATGTTGCACATTTATATAACACTATCAAAAAGACACTATTATTAGGACTATTAGCTCCAAAGGACTGTACAGTCCAACAAAAAGGAAGTATACAGGCTCATTTGTTTGTTGGATTCTGGAAATGAATGTTTTGAATATTGATTTTTTTTGGATTTATGATCAATTTGTTGTATTTTGTATTTTAAAGATAACATTATTTGCTTACTTGATTTTTTTCTGTCTGTTATCATTATTAATTTTTTAAATATTTTCTTAATTAAAATACTAAAATCAGGAATATTAAACTCCACGTGTCTCTTCTAAGTTCTAACTCAACACCATGTTACCAAGTTAGTATTACTACAAAATAGTTAATAAAGAGTTAACGTTTGACTATTACTTTGCATTTCGAAAAATTCGACTAATAATTTGAGAAGTTTGGTTAATAAACTATGTTTACTCTAATAACTTTGTAATATAATCTTTTATAAATATTATTATTCATCCTAAATTAGACAAATTATTCTAATATTTGGGATGCGTGAGGATTCCCGATCCTTGGTGATAATTAAGGAGATATATATTATTCACAATAAGTGTACTTAGTGGAGTTTGGAGGAGTTGTTGATGAGATCAGTTCACCTCCAAATCGAATCGATTTAGATCGATATTTATATCGTTAGTTGAATACGTAGTTCGATTCATTTCGATTACCGTTTACAGACTTTTTGGGGGAAAAATGAAAAAAAAAAGTTGAATCATAATCACATTGGAGTATTTAACCTATTCGAATCAAGGATAAATTTCCATCAGACGATCTGCTCTTCAAAATCATTTCATTTTTCAAGTGCATGATGTATTCTAATCATTGGCGTAGCCAGAGATATAATTTAGTGGGGTACAAACATAACCAAATACGAAGTTTGACTCGATAGTAAAATCATTGTCTCGGAAAGAGGGGGTCCGTGGTTCTAAATTTACTAACCCCACCTTAAAAATCCACCATTCTTAATGTATATTCATTTTCCAAGTGGGGTCCATGGACCCCACAACCCTTAACCTAGCTCCGCCAATGATTCTAATTTGATTCCCGTACGTTCCTCATAATTATCATATTTTTTTTTACTTAATGTCATGCATAAATATGTTAGGAAAATACTTATCTCTCCACACGTTGGTTGCGTATATATGTGTTCAATGGAGGCTGAGCTAACAAGACTGATTCTGCCAGCTGACCCATTCGTTCCCCAGAAATCGATCCCAACCACATGATTCTATGAAACAGTACGTCTTATTCCCAAGCATGCATTCATTTCTCTACTTGCATCAGAATAGATGAAGGTACGTAAGAAAGGGACTTGCTTTCATTTCAATGGGACGTTTGGCCGGCCTAATTAATCAAATGGTTTGAGTTCGGTACCCGTCTTTTTGACTAATGCCATGCATAAATATTGAGGTTGTACTAATATATAATATTAATGATCATCTCAAAGCTATAAAAAAAGAGTGTACACTTTGGAGCTAATAGTCCTAATAATAGTGTCTTTTTGATAGTGATATATAAATGTGCAACATGAAGGAAAGCGCAAATGAATGAAGAACTCCAAAAACATGCAAGTAACTAACTAATCCACTCTCAACCCACCAGATTTGCTCGAAATTTACATCAAGAGGGATGTAAATTCAAAACAAATGAAAACCCCAAATGCTCTGCAATATATGTATCTATGAAACTTCAATCACGCCACTTCCCAAGACGATATGCATTGTCCCAATCGTAGGCCAATAGTAGCAATTGCAGATCACCATGGCTGTATAATGAAGAAAACTCCCCCTATACTCTTCTTCTGTCTCTTTGCATGAAAACTTCTGTATAATGAATTCCCACCCATATATGCATTCATTCATTATATTCTAACCATGGTTCGGTTGGATGGGTGGCTTTAGTTAATGTTTCCCTTCATCTAACACGTAAGCAAATCTGGGTCAGACTAGGATTCGACTAAAGTTGACAAGTGTGTACGTTTGACATGGCCTGCTGGCTATAGATAACGGGGGATATTCGATCGAGCATCCAATCCCAACTTGCCACGCATGCATGCAGGACAAATGCTACACATGAACTGGCCTTGTTGCCTATAATACAAACTTGGCATGCATAAATTAATCATCAAGGCCCGTTTGGTATAGTTTTGTTGTTGTGGTGGTTTGTGTAAAAATGTTGTAAAAACATAAATAATAGAAATACGATTAGTTGGTAGTTCTGAGAATTTAAGGAAGTTGTCAGTTTAATCGTGTGTTTAGTTACTTTAATTATTTGACCCCTTTAGCCTTAATGTACGTGGAGACTAATACTATAGCTAGAGTAGGACAATAACATGAGGAACCGTGTGACATGACAAGTTACGAGAAATTTGAAAGAGAAAAATACATGAAAAACAATATTAACAATAACGTGATGAGATTCCGTGATCGCATTCATTTCAATTTTTTTTAGATTGATATTAACATTGTTAACCAAACACATAGCTCGATTTGTTTCGATTTCACTACTTCTTTTAAAAAATATATATATATAAAAAAAGAAAGAAAACATCTAAATCATAATTAGGCTGAACTGATTCGAATCAAACGCAAGATCTTGATCCTCGAAAAATTATCTTGCGTTTCTCATACGTTCTAACATATCCTACTCGGTTCGATCTCAAATTAGACCAAACCATGACCTAACCCCAACATGCACTAGTGTACAACTTAGCTTAGAAGGTAGAACGCGTACAACAACACTTAAACGTGTTTCTATGGTAATCAAAAGTTAAAACAATGAAAATCCGACATGCTCTGTCTGCAATAAACGTATCTATATTGGACTTCAATCATGCACTACTTTTTTTTTATACATTTAGTTTGAATTAATGGTTAACCCAAAGCTATGCACTGCTTCTATATACCGTTCATTTCTCTACTTGCATCAAAACAGATGTAACGTTATACCCAAAGCAATAGAGAAGACAACTAGCAAATTAGGACAAGAGGAGTACGATTTCATTTCAACGGGACATTTACCTAATTTCTGTCATGAAACAATGGGTCATTTGCTTCTTTCTGCCTTCTACTTGGGATTGGAACAATTTAGGAGATCGATTATTCACAACAAGTTCACTTCGTAGTTGGCTATGTACCGTTGCGCCTTAAATTTGCTCTCCACTTCCCCACACGAATGCATTTGTCCCAATCATAGACCAATAGTAGCAAGCAGATCACCATGGTTATGTCTATACTCTACACCTCTTTCCATGAAAATTTTGATAAAGGTGATTCTGTTCTCTGTCGTCTCTTATCCTTTTCCCACGATCCAGATTGAGCAAATTGAATCGGAATTATGGCGAATTGGGATTCATTCGATCTCACCATGGTTTGGTTGAGTAGGTGGCTTTAGTTAATGTTCCCCTCCATCTAACACGTAAGCAAATCTGGGTCAGACTAGCTAGGATTCGACTAAGTTGTCAAGTGTACGTTCTACCTGTTTTCAGCATCCAATCCCAACTTGCCACGCATGCATGCATGACACGTGCTGAACACGGATTGGCTTGATTGTTACAAACAATACTAACAACTTGGCATGCGTAAATTAACGTCACGATTGTATCTCGCTAACTGTATAATGACATGTCAGCAGAAGAGAAGAATGAGAGAGAAGCATTGATGTTAATGTTATGGGGAAAAGCCCTTATAAAACCCAACTCCTCCCTCCTTCTCTCTCTCACGCCATCACTTCCAACTCTCTCAAACTCTCTCAATCAGTTCAGTAGCCCCAACCAATCGATCTCCCTGTTTTTCCAACGTCCGTCCTCCTCGACCGGGAAAAATAAAAAATGTCACCGCCGGTTTCTTCCTTTCACCTGATCATGACCTGCGTTCTCATTCCATTCCTCCTCCTCCTCGTTCACTTCCCTCTGACCTCGCCACAGCTTCTAAAGGGTTGTGGGTTTTCGGCCTTGTACAACTTCGGTGACTCCTTGTCGGACACCGGAAATGCACTGGTCCAATTCGATTTCGGTGGGAACGGAAAGTACCCGTACGGGATGACCATCGGGAAGCCAACGGGAAGATTCTCCGATGGCTTGCTTCTGATCGACAGAATCGGTGAGTAGTACTCTCTCCACTTTCAAACCCTATTTAATTTAATTTGTTTGGTGTACGTGTTCCATGTTGTTACGTCGTCGTTTTTTACTTAAAAACATTTATCTTTTTTAGTTGGACCTCGACTCTTTGATAAACATAACATAAAAAAAAAAAAAAATTAGTTCTTTCCATTTTTTCATTTTGTTTATCTTTGTTTGCTTCTTTGTCTTCGTCTACCTCCTGTGCATGGCTTGTTTTCTGTTTCCATCCATTAGGGTTCCTTCCTTCTTTTAAGTACCTACTTCTTCTAACTCGTTATTTGTTTCAATTTTCTTAACAAGCTGAGTCGGCCGGGTTACCACACTGTAACCCTTACCTGAGAAAGGACATGGACCACTCCAAAGGTGTTAACTTCGCCGTGGCCGGAGTCAGCGTCCTGTCCAAGGCTCAGCGGGACAAGTTTGGCCTCCACTTGATTTACTCTCAAAGCTCCCTGGACGTGCAGCTCCAGTGGTTCGTCAATTTCTCAAGGGAAGCATTCCACAACGAATCAGGTGATCGTATTTAATTAGTTATTCCAAATTTACGAGATAGATATATATGTGATCATATTCTCATTCGATTAGAGTAGACTACCCTTTTTTATGACTAATTTGTGTATCTTGATTATGCAGCCCGCAAGGCCAACTTCGAATCGGCGCTGTTCGTTCTAGGAGGCGGAGGGAACGATTACGGCGGCTTTAAGAATACACCCGAGGAGAAGATGACCCTCATCCCCTACGTGATTGCCGCCCTCAAAGAAGGACTCAAGGTTATCTGCTGGTTTATCATCACATGATTTATTAGTTCACCTTAAGTTTTAGTTAGTTTCTACTTCAAAGTTATTATAATTTACTGACCCGCCATTTCCTTCTGTTTCTATAATTCCCCACCCCCCAGACGGTGATAAGTCATGGTGCAAGGAGGATCGTTGTGATGGGGGTGTACCAGGGAGGATGCTTGCCCGGGTTCAACAAGACGATTCTGGAACGCGATCAAGGGCCGATTGTGTGCGACAAGGAATGGAACTCGTACCTTGACTTGCACAACAAGCATGTGCAGAAGCTGGTTCTTGAACTTGGGAAGGAGTACCCTCAAGTCCATCTTGCTTATGGCAACATGTGGGACGGAATCCAGTGGATGTTTGACAACTTCCGATCCCTTGGTACGTGCCTTACTCCTTTTCCTTTTACCAATCAATGTTTTTAGTTGGTATTTTAACGATTTGTGTGAGCCTTTGCTAAGATTGAATAAAATTTATGGTTTGTGATTGACGTAGGGTTGCACATAAGCTACGCAAGATGTTGTGGAACCGAGGAGCACAAAGTTTGTGGTGAGACTGGTACCCCCTTCTGCAAAGACCCGTACCACTACATATGGTGGGACAACTTGCATTTCACGGATCGAGCCTACAAGCTCATTGCGAGCAAGGTGATCCCATGGATGTACCGTGATCTACAATGTGCTACCTATAACTTTACAAGCTTCAGATCGGGTGGAGTTCGTGTTGTGGACAGCATCCATCAGCACCTCTGGTTCTCATTTGCTGTAATGATGGTTATCTTCCTTTTTTTGTTTTATGAGATATGAAGACATTGGGCATGATTTGACTCTTTAAGTTTAGCTTATGTTGTTGGGCTTTTAAGTACTTGTTGTCATGTAATGGAATCCTGGTTATCTGTACTTAGTTTGATTGAGTCGGAAGTGTTAGGTTATGATCGAGTAAATTTCAAGGGCATGTGAGTAAGGTAGTTAATGGTGGTTTTTTTATGAACAACGGTTGTAATGCATGCTCGACTTTAATGATATTTGCAACTTGTTAAGCCCTTCACAATTTATTGCAAATGCTTCATTCTTACCATATGGAACCGTATCGTAGTCATATAACAACTATTAGAACAAAAGAAAGACATATAATGAAAACCATTGTAGGTTGATATCAATAGTATGTTTTCGTAAAAATCATTTAAGATCAACACAAAGTATTCACAAGATGAGAACATTACCACAATTTTCAAATCGATCGGGTGTACGTATAATAGAAGTGATATAAGCACGATGACCTATAATGATCAAAGGGCGTAGCTAAATCACGAGTTTGCTTGATCAAACTTGAAGTCAACTCGAACACGAACAAAAACAGGATAATTGGGTTTGTGGAAGCGTATTGTCGTGCAATTCCACACCCGGGGAAAGGCTTGAACAATATCAAGTCGAAGCTCGGCCACAATCAAGCGCGATTCTTGATTGCTACGGAGCACACTCTGTAATTGGAATCCACACTATTCACAAACCACAATCCAAGAGTAAACACTCAAGACCAAAGGGGTAAATTTTTCATTGATCAATGATGCATTTTACAAAGAAAGGCTAATTAACAAGGACGTGAAATCAAACAGAAAAGAGGTAAAAGAATTCTTCCCAAACAAGGAAACTTGGACTCTAAGCAACTAACTTCAAACACAAGTAAATCTGCCCAGAAAACCAGGCTCCATACGAACTTTGAGCTTCTGAGAAATGGACTTCTAGCTTCATTCGAACTCATCCAATGCCTTCATGTGGTTTAAAAAATTTCTTAGTTTCATCTCCAACTCCCATCTTCTCTCGGATGTGTCCCAAACATAAGGAATAGGCCTCCAGAATTGGTACCCTGAACACAGTTTTCGCCTTAGCTAAATTTTAGGCAGTTTTCACTTTTTAGATTCGAACATGTGTCCATGCAATCTTCAATAGCTTCAATAGAGACCCAGCGAGCTTGATATCCTTCAGACAACCACTTGTTGATCTTCACAAAGTGTAATAATACAACTTCCAAGCGATGGATTCCCTTCATATACGTTTCTTAAATACCATACATTGTGTACTCTACCAACAATTCAAATTATTGTAACCAGTTGGTTTATAACATATTACAAGTCCAAACATCGAGCATCACAGAACACCACACCACAATCCAAGACCAATATGGTCCCATTTCAGAAAAAGGTTGACATTAATTAAATTAAAGACAAAAATATTTATTGCGGCCACGACGTTGCGCACAGAGCGCAACTGACTTTGCATTACAAATTAAAAGCTTTTAAATAACATCCATCTTTAATAAATTTTCTCAAAGCATTCAAGGGAAAGTTGATCATAGGCAACGAACTCAATGACAAAGGCCCTGTACTTGGCTTGATCGAAGTTGTTTGATGCATTAATATCCAAACTTATATAGTCTCCATCGGGTGATACATGGTAATAAGCACCCTTTTCTACACTTACCAACTTCAATCGTTGAGCACCCGAGAGCACTTCATTGTGCTTCGCCACCGAAAACCGAGCCAACCTCATAATCCGCGGCAATTGCACCTCCTCGTGAGACATCGGAGTAGGTGGGCCAAAATGATCAAAACGGTAACACGACGACGACGCTACCGGTTTCACGAACGCAAATACGCTTACTATGAGGACCAACGTCATTGCTGCTAAAGCGAACAACTTGGTCATTTTTTGACTCTGTCCTTTTGTCAAGAACTGTGTATTGTTTCCTTGTAAACGTTTTCTTACTTTTTTGGTTGATCTTCTTGTGTGAGAGCTTCGTATTTATACTCAGATTTTCTATCACGATGCCAATATTTTCTCTTTGAAAGTTAAAAAAATATATGTTATTATCTCTTTATTATTATACGAAATTTATTAGTATTACGGTTACAAACGCATTTCTCGACAAACAATTCAATTCATAATCCAAGTTAATAATGCTCACCGCTATAACTCCACCCTTCGTTAAAAAAACAAGTATTCGCCAATGTATGTATTGAGTGTCATTAATTCTCTTTCGTGTTACCAAATGTGGCTAGTAAAAACATACATACGTTCATGATAAAGTAGTAGTTTTTGGAATAACCGAATGAAAAACAACTCTTATCTATTCCAAAAGGGCGGAGTTGTCGTCGAGATGGAGGGGATAATAAGAATCATAGAGAAAATTAAGTAATTTAAATTTTTTTTGTTTTCATTTCGGTTGGAGAAAATAAACATTAACAAGAAAGGATAATTTGATCATTTTAACATCATTAAACGATCAGTTAGCATATTTTATGACATAGTGCATAATTGTTATGGTAAGTAAATTTTTGTTACATTTTGATAACATAAGAAAAAGTTCGTGAAAAAAATAATAGAATGATAAGTTTGTTAATTTGTAATATTAAAGGATATATATAAAATGTTATTAACCTTTTTATTTGGGGGTTAGTAGTAATTTTGTTTGGGGTGTGAAAGAAGGGGTCAAGGTAAAGGAAAATGTGGCTTGGCATCATCTTACCTTCCCTAAAAAAGAAGGGGGTTTGGGGTTCAGGGATCTGTCAAGCTGGAACCAGGCTTGTATGACCAGACACATTTGGTTGATTCTCTTGCAAGAAGGGTCCATCTAGGTAGCCTGGATTCACAGATTCAAGCTCAAAGGCAGGAACTTTACACGGCCGTGTGAAGGACCCCCCTGCCCGTGTGGACAGTCCAGGGAATCCACACGGCCAAAACCCATTTCCACACGGCCGTGTGAATTTCAGGACTGGCCGTGTGGTCTGCCAGAACTCCGAAAATGACCTGTTTTCACTCAAAAACGACCTACGACTCATGAACAACACCTCAAGACTCAAAAACACAAAAAAAATCAAAAGGAAAAAGGTAAGAAAATGCAAACCTAGGTGGGGTTGCCTCCCCACAAGCGCTTCTTTACCGTCTTTTAGCTGGACGCCAGTAGGTGGATGCTAGAGAAGTGTAGGATCAGGTGCCTTCAAGAGCGGATCCACATCGCTCTTGAGGTACAGCTTCAGGTGGTGGCCATGCACACGGCGGGTGTGTCCACCAGCACTCGCCAACTCGACTTGGCCATCCGGCAAGATGCAAGCGAGTGAATACTCGGATGGCCAAGGTGGGGGCGGGACCAGCTCATAGTGGTCTCCGGCTTTCTTTCGAGCAGGCTTAGCTGCCTGCATTTTCGGCCGCCACTCCTCCTTGATCTGTTCTTTTGGTGACGGAGTGGACGGGAGTGGCGGCGAAGGTATGGGAGGGGGATCCTGCAAAGTGGGAAGCACAGAAGGATACACGACAGACTCGTGCTCCTGGTGAGAAACAGCATGCAAAGGCGAAGAAGCAGGGAGAGTATTAGCAATTGAAAATGTTATTCGCTCCTCGCCATCCCTCAAGACTAAGGTCCCGTCATGCACATCTATGAGAGCCTTGGCGGTGGCTAGGAAAGGCCTTCCCAGTATAAGGGGCACTTCTGTGTCCTCATTGATGTCCAAGACAACAAAATCCACAGGATAAAGAATTTGCCAACCTTAACCAGAAGGTCTTCCACTATGCCCCTAGGATGAACTATAGATCGGTCAGCTAATTGAAGGCTCATCCTAGTAGCACGGGGTTCACCTAGGCCTAGTTTCTTGAACAATTTATACGGCATAACATTGATACTAGCACCTAGATCCGCCAAGGATCTCTCTACATGCAATTTATCTATAGAGCACGGGATAGTAAAACTATATGGGTCCTTCTGCTTCGGCGGAAGCTTGTTCTGTAGAATGGCCGAGCACTCCTCGCTGAGCTCCACAGTGGCCAGCTCGCTCAGCTTCTGCTTCTTTGAGAGAAGATCTTTCAGGAACTTCGCATACTTAGGCATTTGAGATAGTGCCTCAAGGAAAGGTACTTGGACATTCAGCTTTCTAAGCATGGACATGAAGTTCCCGAACTCTGCCTCTAGCCTGTCTTTGTGCAACCGAGTAGGGAAGGGGAGTTGAGGGATATACTCATTCACTACTGGTTGCGGTTTAGGCGCAGGTACCTCAACCTCCTTCTCCGCTTCTTCTTCAACCGCTGGAGATGCCGAGGAAGGGGCCTCTCTCTCTTGTGCCCGAACAGGTGGATCAGCAGTCATCTTGCCACTCCTGGTTGTGATGGCATTGCAGTGCTCATTCGGGTTCTGCGGATGAGGGATGGTCTGACCGGGTAGAGTACCAGGAGCCCTTTGCGCCACTGCTTGAGCCACGCTCCCCATCTAGGTTTGGATATCCTGCAAGACAGCCTGTGTGTTCCTCTGGCCAGCTTCAAGAGCCAGGAATTTACCCGAGGCCTTTTCCATGAACTGCTCGATAGTGTTGAATTTCTGAGCACTAGAACTGGCAAGAGAACCCACCAAGTCCCGCAGTTCAGCCATCTGATCATTCTGCACTAGGGTTGCAGGGGTTGCACTTGGCTGCTGGAAAGGTCGCGGTTGTGATTGAGCAGCATGCCCCTGCATGGGCTGGTAGAGAGACTGCTGCTGCTGGAACTGCCCCTGTCTGGGCTGGTACGGAGGCCTCTGGAAGCCAGGTGGTCCCTGGGGGACTGGTGGTATGGAATTTGCCCCACCCCAGGAGAAGTTGGGATGCTGGCGCCACCCCTCGTTGTAAGTGTTACTGTAGGGGTCATTTCGCCTAGCATTATTGATGAAGTTCACCTGCTCTTGGGGTGTGGTCGATTCCTTCATCGCCTGGCAGTCTTCCACCGTGTGATGGGTGCTCTCGCACCACTGGCAGAGCATCTCCTGCTGCTGTCCGGTCCCTGGAATCACCCCGGAACGATCGATAGCTGAAACCAGCTTCGATACCACCTGCACCAAATCAGAGAAGTGGGTTCCCACAGAATGTACACCTCGGCCTGGTGCTCTCCTCGACCTCCTAGAAGTGCCCCAATCATACCCGTTCTCTATCATCTCCTCAAAGAGTTGATTCAGCTGTGGCGGTCTTTTGGTCAGCATGTTCCCGCCACAAACTGAGCCAATCAGCTACTTGTCTTCTGGGAAGAGGGTGTGATAGAAGGTGCCCACCTTGAAAGCATCATTGAAACCATGATTGGGGCACCTCAGGAAGATACTGTTGTATCTCTCCCATGCGTCCTGGATGGTCTCATCTTCATCCTGGAGAAAGTGGGTGATCTGCTTCTTCAAGTCCGCCATCTTGGACGGAGGATGGTAGCGGGTGAGGAACTTGTCCGCCAGGTTGGCGAAGGTGGTGATAGAGCCTGGAGGTCGAGTGTCTAGCCACTCCTTGGTCTGCCCCTCCAGGGTAAATGGAAAGTACCTCAGCTGGATGGCATCGGCTGGGACCCCATTTATCTTGATTCCATCGATGAGCTCGTGGAATCGCCTCAGATGTGATCGAGGGCACTCCCCCTCTTTGCCTCGGAACACCACTGAACCGCGCAACATTGTGATGACAGAGGTGCTCACCTCAAAATTATTTGCTGGCACATGAGGGTGTTGAATGGGCGACCTCATGTCCGCAGCCCTGGCGGTCCAGTAATATCCCATGGTTTGTTCCTCAGGAAGGACCACATCATGGTCTTGTGGATCACCCATCTCTTCTTGGTCGGCGACCTGCAGCTGTGCTAGCGCCTCCTCCGCTGCCAGTCGCGCCTTTAGAGCCCGCTTGAAGTTCCTGCAGGTTCGTTCAAGCTCCTGGTCTAATGGTAATAGTTCTCCCGATTGGCTACGGGTCATGCACTACCTGCACACAATCAGCAGAAGCAACCCGTGAAGGCACATAGGTGGAATATATAAAATGCAATAAAGAAAAACCTAGAGTAACAAATTTTCACGTTTCCCCAATAACCTAGAGGGTCCCCGGCAACGGCGCCAAAAACTTGATGCTCCAAAACACAACACCAAACTGCGACCAAGTATAATCGCAGTTCGGGAATGCAGTAAAGTGGCAAATTCTATTATCAACCCGGGGTCTAGATCTACTGCTTACTCCGTGATTATCTATTATCTAGCCAACTAAGTCAAGTGATTGTTGTTTTAAGCAAAAGCAGTAAGAAAGCAGGAAATGGTTCGGTTTTCTCAAGCAAAGAAGAGTCACTCGGGAATGAGTCCCCCTAGATCCTTAGTTAGATCTCAATTGTAATTACCCTGGGTTGATTTACTATTGATTAAACTGCGGAAGATCCGACTGTAGCTTGGAATCTCTTAAGCTGACCAAGCCCTCTCAGTCTAACTACCCGGCAAACGACTAGTCTTCACCGGGATAGAAAGCTGAAGCAATAAGCACAAAACTGCACTACTGGAATTGGATTCCAGTACAAAGCAGTAGAATGGCTAACTCTCGTATAACCAATCCACTACTAACAAATGATGAGGCTCTAACAACCTAATCAGATTCTATCTATCTCAGGTTGCAGCAGAAATCAAGAAAAGCTTATCAGACTTCAATCAATTCATGAAACATGCATCATTCGATTAAAATCAAATAGTATAATCATCCCAAGTCATTACAATCAAATCCCTAACACATGGAACTAGGGTTCTTCATACCCAAGTGAGAGAAGGGTTCTACTCCATAGAGAGAGAGGAAAACAGAATACAAAGCAGTCATACTCATAACAATGGGAAGAATCTGCTCTGGGATGATGATTTCCACTCCTATGACGATCTCCACGCTCGATTTGATGAAACCCAGCTCCAAGATTGCTTCTAGGATGTGTTCTTTGCACTTTTTCTCTCTAAAACTCTGTTTTTGCTCTCAAAAGTGGATTACCT